TCTCATGCAATATGTTTGAATGAAAATATTCTATTCATTGTAAAAAGGAGATAATGTAATTTTTGTTGTTACTGAGGCTATACCGAGCTTCTGAATGTTAACTGCCTTAATGCATTGCATTAAAACATGTTATTAAAAACAAAAGGTCACTCTTGGTTTAATTTTTTGCCTGTCATTTATTATTTCTAATTGTACTTATAAATTAAATGTGTCACATAGTTTGAAGCTTGAGTGTGCACAGAAAATTTGAAGCATCCAATTTTTTTGTCTGGTCCAACAAACCAAATCATTTTGAAGTGATTCAAAGTTGAGATACTTAAGAATAAACCAAAACATTTACTTCAAGAATGCGGTTCCAAAAGAAAATGGTTAAAAATTATTAATTCAAGAACACTTGAGTAAATGATGTTACATTTTCAGTAACAAGTAAATATTGGCAATATTAATATTTGTATTATCTGGTAGGTCTACCAATGACCAAGAAAATAAAGTTTAAAAAATGTTTTTTATATGTGGACTTCTTACATAGTCTTGGTTGTTATGTCAATATTAATCCATCCAATTACTTTATGTACACTTTTATTTGGACAGCTGTACATAAGAAATTTAAAAAATGAGACTAAATAATATAGTTGGTATAAAAAAATTGGTACCATAACCAGAAAGTATGAACACATTTCCTTCCAAGACCTTATGCAAATCTCAACAGTAATCAATTACTGGTACATTCAGAAGTTAATGCAAATTAAATTTATTTACCAAAAATTATTAGTTATTGTCAAATGAAAATAAATCAACATTTTAAAATTAAAGTTTTGCATTGGAAAAGCTTAACAGTAAAATCTATTTTTAAAATTAACATTGAGGAGGGTTAAAATTATTTTTCCTTTAAAAAAAAATGGATTTCTATTCAAATTTGCAATTAAATATTTGATTTATGATCTAATATAAACAACATGCTGGCTTCCGGTCTTTTATGTAAATAGGTTTATTTTCATAATTAAAAGTTTTTCATTCAATATTTTGTCATGACACATTAAATGAGTGTTCCTAATTCTACAGCCAATTTGTGTTAGTTTAAAATGGTTTGCTGTAGGCCATTATTACTATTCTAGAAAAAAATGTTCAATATATTTTATTTACTTAAAATATCTGTAATTGTTGAGATAAATAAGATGAGGGCTTATATTGAATAACTATATTATCATGTAGTATAAATTAGGGCCTCCTTAGTTTTTGGTATACAGAAAACACAACACAAAAAAGGTTACGGTACTCTTCTCTTTGTTTTTCTTCTTTTGGATTGCTCCAGGTGCTGTGTAGGCCATTTACAATTTTTTTTTCTTTTTAACTCTGATGTGAACCAATTTTTCCAGCTCTTTCAACTTCTTATTGAAAAAATAAAAATGAGTCGTGGATGTTGTCCTTTCCTTTGGATGATAAAATTGCTTATTATCTTTAAAATGAAAATATATGTACACACATTAAAATATTATTATATTTTTTGTATGAGTTTTAGGTGATTAAAACTGTTAAAGGTGTTTTTTTTTTTTAAAACTAGTAATATTACTGGTATGAACTTATCCCCTTGTGTAATTGGTACAGTGAACTTAATTAAACAAGTATATAAATACCGGTATTAAAAATACCAGCCAGTTTTATTGTTAAAATATGCAGATGCTCAAAACTAGTATTCTTAATCAATCCATTTTTTGTAATTCAGTATTACACTTCAAACAGATCTAATCTCCTTAACCAATAAGTTAGCCTTAGTGGCATGGAATATTTATTTTATATAAATGTTAGTTCTTGCTCTTCAAACACTTAATTTAAGAGAGCTAATGATATTTTTCATCAGGATTATTTCTTTAAGAGACTTAGACAGTCACTATTTATCTGGCTATTTCAATCTTGTCTGTCTTTACAGGAGCGTAGGAGGGGTCGGTCCACCATGGAAATCACTTTTTTTCCTTAACATATAGGTTTGCAATTTCTGCTAAATTAGTTTTTTTCTTGGAAGGGGACGACAAAACGTTTGGCCAGTCTAAGGCGGCACCAACCATAGCTATGCCACCAACCCTAGCTACGCCACTGTGTCTTTATATGTGATAAAGAATTATTTAGATGGCTATTTTGAAAAAAGAAAAATAACCACACGGGAACACTGCTTAACATGCTTGGGAATTAATCCCAGCACAGCATTTTTTCACACACATTTATTTATTACCGTACATGTATGGTATAGATATGATCATTTTGGTTTTTTTTATTGAAAACTTTGCAAGATGCACGTCAATCATTACTTATGTGGTATCATGTAGATCTAACCATTCTCAAGCAAGAAATTTTAGGGTTGTAAATAAGATTTTGTATGCACTTGTTTTTGGGTCTTTGGTAGAGAAAAAAATGTGTTGGAATCATGCAAACTAATCACATGAAAATCATTGTTTTGAACTAGTTTAAGTTTAAACATAATCAGTGTCTAACAATAACATGTATAAAAATAAACTGTTGTAAAAACATTTTGTACTTTTCTTCAGTTTGTGGTTGCAAGTCAGTTATTAAACCTTTTCTTATATTATATATTATAAAGATTGGCAATGAATAACCCATCAATGTTTTGTGTACTGGTACTGTTGAATAAAATCCTGGCTGAAATGTTCATTGTTTGATAACTATTTAGTGGTAGAGAATATGAGCATGCATTGTATTGTAAGTTAAGTAGCTTGACACAATTGGTATTCATTTCTAAAAAGAATTGTTTGAATTCAAAATTACTCAAAATGACAACAGTTTGCAGCCTGAAAATGCTTGAGGGGCCATACATATCACTGGACAACAAAAACAATCTTCTTGTCTGCTAGTGCTACTGGGTATCTATTTTGTGGAGTTTACTAAATCAAGTGTGCTGATTACAAATCTGAAGTCAGATTTTATATTGCTGTTAGGATCATTAATTATGCAAGCCTTATTGTGAAATTTAAATTGTGCATTATGCAAGTAAATTACAGAACTAATATTTGCTTATCTTACATAACTGTGTGACTGTACTATTTTAATTTCAACTAATGCCAATAAGAAATTTTAGGTTTGTTTTCTTAAATTATACTTTAAAAAAGTCAATAGATAGTTTTAACTTTTAAAAAACATGCCAAAAACCAATTAAAAATGTAATAAAATTAAGAAAAATTAAAATGAAAATGTTTTTAAATCTAATATTAATATAAATATATGTATATTGCTCTGATGAAATTACATTCCAGCTTAACTCTATACCAGTTCAAAAGGGCTTTAGGCACTTGATCTTATAAATAAATGGTTGCTGTTGCCTGCTGCAGAAACCAGTAGTAATCACCCCTCTAGTTGAAAATGCAGTGGCCTTGAAACCTTGTTTCAAAAGTGGAAAAGTCTTGATGAAATCTATATCCATGCTCATTGCTTCCATCAATCAAGTTTGGTGGTAAAAAATCCAAATGAGGATGTAAGAAATGCATTTTAGTGATATCAGGCAGCCGAGTTGCTTGGAAGCTATTATGTTTTCATAGTGTTGCTAACGAGTTAAGCATTTCTCATAGCTTGGTGAATGAAAGAGTTTTGCACCAACAGTGCACATACTTCATAAGCTTCAAGTTCAAGAGGTTCTAAATACAGTATCACACATCAGTCCCATGTGATGAAATTCCAGCTTAGCATCAGTTTTGATTGCTCTGAATTTCTCTTTTAGGTTCTGGAAACCTTGTTCATTATGATCCATAGCTGCGAGTCACTGCACCAAAATGTTTAAGAGTCCCAGTTTTAATGAAGAAGGCTCTAAGCTAAATGGTTCATATCTTTTGTCCCGTCTTTTGATTCAAGCTTCAACATACCTTGTTTTACTATTTCATTCAGTTTTAATGTGAAGGGTTGTTAGGTACACTTTCAATTGATCAACCAATCTTTCATGCTGCATGGGCCAACAATGTGCTCAGCTCTAGGAAGCGACCGTTTTAATTTGTAATGGTTGCTGTCATCACCATTGTGAACCCGACTGTAGTCCTAGTAAAAGTGCTAGCACTTTCACGTCAGCACAGATGTTCTATTAGTGACTTGAGCAGTTGATCACTTTCAAAATGAGTTTCATTAAATCATTCAGTGTGAGCTATGGGAACATACTATTTTTTATTTTTCATTGTGCAACAACACAGCTGTCAAGCTTGCCTTGCTGGAATCCGTGAACAGTCTCCAATGAAATTATCATTAACAGTGATAAGAAACATATTGATAACCGAACTTCCCATAAGTATAGAAAAAGATATCATTTTCCAGTTTATAATATGTATACATTAATACTTTATAATTCTTGAATCCATGCTGCGTAATCAAAGACAAGCTAGGCAGATTCTGACTTCATATTTGGTATCAGCACGTTAAAATCCATTAAATCCATATAATTTATTTTCATTGGCAAAAGCTTATTTGACAGTGTATATTACATACATGTACCCACTGAGACATTGTATAATAGGTATTGGAAAGTCTTTCCTTACATCTTGTTAAGTTCATTTTGATTTTTGATTTAAATTTGAATCTTTAGTGACTTGATATACTGTATTCAAATCAACTGTTAAGTATAATATTACAAGTAATAATTTGAGTGTCTTAGTTTTTCTACTTTAAAATCAAATTGAAAGTGAAGCAGATGCAAGAAATTTTAGACAGATAGTGTGAGATAGGGATATCACAGAGGTCAGATCACATTTGTATAAATAATAATAATAATTTGGCTGGAAAAGAGCAGGAGTAACCTTGGATCATATCTTCCTTTTTTCTAATTTGGGAATGTATGAAGAGAAAGAAATGCATATTTTATCTAACAAAACATCTCAGCTATCAGCATTGCGGTATATCCTCACTAGCCCACAATTGCTTTTAAAAACATTAAGGAAACTGCACTGGTTTTTAAGCTTTTATTTTCTTTGTTTTAAAGCTATTTAATTGCAAAAATAATAAAAACCATTGACTTGTGACAAAACAACTTTATTTACATTTCAAAAAAAATAACATCCAAGAAGACAAAAGAACAAAGACATTAAAAAAATAATTTAAAAAGGAACTTTTCATTGAAACTGTTATCCATCACCACATGCAAATAATAATCATTTCAAAGGCAATTTAATAAATATAGAAATTAAATCTTATCTTTAAATAATAATGTCAATCCTAAGCTTTCATTCACAATTTTCACTAACAGATTTAATTATTTTATGACTAGTTACAACCATCTGTCATTCCTTTAAATGAAATGGCTCACAATACTTTACACATACATGTGTTTTAAATATGAAGAAGAGTTGTTGTTTTTTATTAACAATATAGACAGCTTTCACAATGAAATTAATCATAAACAATGTTTTCTTATCATATAAAATAATTATAAAATTCCATAATTTTGCCTAAAAATGCTTGTTTCTCTGATTTCAATTATTGCACAATGTTGCGACACCTTGCCATCAGTGTATAGTAAATTCAAAGTAAAAAAAAAAGCTTTTCACATCAACAAAATTGTACGTTAATGTAGACTTAAGTGAAAAAAATATAGATGACATCTCAAACACAAACTGGCAAATCAAATTGAAGCCATTAGTATCTTTAACTTAAAACACCATTTTTTATGAATTAGATATAAGAAAATTTTGTTTAAAAGAAGAGGAATATAAATATAAAGATAATGATAGTTAGACTACATAGCACATATATGGTTCTTTTGCAGAACCTATGCTTATGGTCATCATCTTTTAAAAATGTATATAAATGTTTTATTCTCATTTTCATTGAAATCGCTCGAAAAATGCATTTCAGCATCAAGAAATTAAATATTTAAAGAAAATTTTTGTAAACTGCACCTAGTGCTTTAGGTTAGGTTTAGTGCTTCATTGGTGATTTAAAAAATCATTGTCTTTCTTGCAAGGATTATATAAAAACTTGACTATTCTTCCCCTTCTGCTGAGTACCTTTCCAGAATGGCGAAATGTCGCAACAGTATAGTAAATCAGCATTACATGGTGCCGCCTTATTAAATCTCACTCTGCATTTTCCTGCTACCCTTTTTCAAACTTCGTTCCATTGACTAACAATTATGTATTAGCAAAATTAATGGTCAACTATGAATACGTTTTCTCAGTCAACAGACCCATTTCCAAATACAACTTCCCAACAAATCTTCATTTTCAATAATTAGAATATGTGGCAGTTGGAGCTATGCTCTATGATGCAGGAGTTTCAGCACTGTTAGTTTTTGCGCATATTATATTTTTAATGAGAAATTTTAACAATTATGATTTAATATCTATTATTATAATGACTGACATTTTCCTTGGTTTTAATTACAGACTTTGTCAATTCAGGCTTTTCAAAATATTAAAAATAATTACTATAAGGTTGTAGTAGTATTATTTTTATTGCTCTAACAACCAAGCTGAATGTAAAGTTAAGAAGTCTAAGTAAAAATTTATTTTTAAAAGACATCCCCAATAAAGATACATTTATTCAATGATAATTTGTATTGGCTAACAATATTATTCTGTGAGTTTAACTGTAACAGAAACCCCCTTGAAGCATTAACATTTTTAAATGAAAATCTGCCAAACATGAATTAGTCTAGTCCATTAAGATTTTTTTAGACCTGAGCTATGAAAAAATTATTGATAAATGCAAACGAATTTTCATAAATAGCATTCTGAACGCATTCACATTAAAGTACACTTTAGCACATTCTTAGTACAGAATTTTACGTTATAATTAAGATCATGAAACCTTACATTGGACACATATTGTAAGAATATATCCCAAAACTTACATTATGACACTAGGAAACAAAATCCCATTAAGATATTAAAAATATACATAAAAATTTTTGGGGGAATGCTTCACAAAAAGTTTTTTAAAAAAATGGAATTAAAAGATAAACGCTGTGAACTTTGAGATGAAACAGAATTCACTAGTGTATTGAAAAATATAGAAATTTTAATAAATTGCTTTGTAGTGTTTATAAGCAATCGTACAATTAAAATAATTTTAAATATAATAGACATAAATAACTTCATAATCTATATCTTTTATAAAATTATCACAAAAAATTGTAAAAGATGTTATTTATATTAATCAAAATCAATAATTCATTACAAATTCGGTTAACTTAATTCTGAGATGATCTATTTGTTTCTCATATCTTATATTACAATATAAATCTCCAAGCTAAACATTAGTATCAGTATCTAATTAATAAGATTCCTTTATAAACAATATGCACGAATGTGTCTTTCTAAAAGAATTGATATAATAATAAATGTAATATCCACATTGGACTATGTAAGATTTCAAACATAAATTACCTTTAAATATATATTAACATTTAAGCCTAAAACTTAAGTGTTAAAAATTATCAAAATACCTTCTTTAATTTAAATCTCATAAAACTGCAGGGTATTTGAGAGCTGGCATGCATAAGAATGAAATGCTTGATCTCGAAACAGAAACCACTTTGGCGAATCAGACTAACATAACAATATTTTAAAATACCAATATCATCAGACAAGCCAGCTTGTCCCTTTACATCACCACTTCAAAGATAAATAAATCACCTTATTTTTGTTCATTTTTCATCCCACAAAAACATTAACATTGCAAACATTATCTGGTCAACACTTTTGGTGAAAATAAAACATTAGTAAAATCACAATATACACCACATCCTTTTAAGAACATGTTGTTAACATTAACATGCGCATTCTGATTTCTCCTCAATGGCCATTGGGTTAACAGCAGACTGCAAACCCCTATGCTGCGGACTTTCACGTAAATGAACAGTTTCTCTGGGATTGAAATTTGAAATGTGCACTGGCATCATGGGCTTTGAGTTCTTTAATTTATGTGCAACAGTCATAAATATGGCATCCACGTGATTGGCTTTGTCATCATCTTTGGCTGAAGTTTCAAACAGAGGCATTCCATGGGTGTCTGCAAATTTCTGAGCCATATTTGTGTTGACAGCAATTCTGTCCACCATGTCACATTTGTTTCCCACCAGTATACGAGGGATATGCTTATTCAGGTTGTGTCTATCACATTCCTCAATCCATTGGTACATGTTTTCAAAGGAGCTCATCTAAGGAAAAAATAATGGAGCATTAATTTTTTTAATAACTTGTCTCTCAGGATTCTGTACACATCATTTATTTATTATATTCATTAAATTACCTTCTTTAAAAAATATATATAACCTGCTATAAGTACCAGTACTTAAATAAAATTGGTATGGAGTAAATATGCATTTATTAAAAATTAGTTTTCTATTAAATAAGAACCATATGTTCTGCACAGAAAAACAAACAAAGCTACAAAATGTTAGTAAATCTGATGGTTTAGCACAAACAAAAAAATCCATTTTTATCACTATTATTGAGTATATTTAAGCTGGTTTAACAATTCTTAACTAATCACAAAGGTACTTACTTTTGTGATGTCATAAACAAAAATGACAGCATGAACATTTCTGTAGTAATGCTGTACCATTGATTTACGAAAGCGCTCCTGTCCAGCAGTGTCCCACAACTGTAGCTGAGTGATAGAAAATGTATATGTTTTATTTTCATTCCATTAAAATAACATGATAATCTTAGATCCCACAGACAGGACAAACAAATCTATGGATCATTACCAAATTTCAACAATTAATGTGCATACACCAAAATGAACATATTTCACAATTGCTTTTGTTAAAAAAAAAAATCAAATTGTATGGCAATGATAAACTTGTTTATGATTGTTAAGTGACATTAGTATGGGATTTTAGAAAATATGACCATAATGATTGTAGATGATTGTTCCTACAATTATGCCAAATGTTTGTTACTACAATATGCCAAAAGTTTTTATGTTATCTCCACCTTTCAGATGAAAAATGCAAAAGAAAATGTTTAAGCAATGGTTTGTGACAAGAAAAGTATTAGTATAAATCCATGCAGCCTTACTAATTGGGATTTTAAAATAAAATTAATGAGCATCACAAATGTTAAAGCACCTTCATTCTATGGCTATCTAATTCTAAAACTTAAGTTTTAACAGGGCATTGCTTTCCTGAACAAAGCTATAAATCAACCTTTTTTTTAAAAAAAAACAAAACTACATCAATAAGTTAAATTACTCATTCTAAATCTAGTCAGTATTAGTAGAATACTGAAAAGCCATAACTAAGAACATGTTATGCATTTTTTTGCTCTGGATTGTTTCTCTTTACGGTGTGTGTGTGTATTTGCATATAAAACCAATGTCTAAAAACTAGAGCATGCACATAAAATTGTATTGTATACAAAAATATTATTTTGGTTTCAATTTCTCTTCCAATTATCCAAAGAATAGAATGATCTTAATTAAAAATTTCATGATGCAAACATTAAGTTAAGCCTCAATTTAATATAGAAGTTTTGCGCAGCATATATGAATAGGCGGATGTCAGGTTAGGGATATAGAAACCAGGATATAACATACTATATAAGAGCTTAAATCAACACAAATCTTGGCATTTCAGGGACATGGGACCTGTTAACCATCCATGCACTTCAGAGAGATAGAACTGGTTAACTGGATAGTGGCTCATCTAAGAGAAGGAAAGTTCCAACTGTAAACCTCTGCTGTCTTGCAGATAAAAATACAACCTCTACTCTAAGATTAATGTTAAAGAAGTAAGCCCCAAATGAAAAAACTCAGAAATGGCAACACTTTCTATGGTAAAGAAGTTAATCATTATTGAAAAATACTGGACATGAAAATTTTAAGGTGCACCAACAGTTGATGCCAGAACTGTATAGGCTATTTATTTCCCTTTGATCCACCAGCTGCATGAAGAAGGGGAATTGTGATTACACTCAATGGCTGATGATGGTCAAACATAAGATTGAACATCTATTTTCTTAAAATGCTAAGTTAAGACACTCTGCATATTTTTTATTTATTTCTTTGCCCACCAAAATTAGAATAAATATTTAACTGTTGCACACACACACAGCCTAAGCAAAATGAGAGGAAAAATTGGTTTACATTGCAAAAAATAAAAAGTGACTTTTGTTAGTGTTAGCAATCGATGATAATGAATAATATCTGCCATTTTCTATGTATGGTTTGGGTGAGTATGCATAGTTATAAGTTAGTAGTCTTTATCTCCTTGGAGCCTTCAGCCCTGACACCCCTACCTCAACAATGGCAGGCAGTTATGTAATATTCGTTGCCCATGTTATTGTTTTCCTCATTAAAAATGAACAAATTTAATTTACAAAGTGTCTACACGTCCGGCGGGCATGTCACGTGACCGCTGAAGACTAGTAGGCGTTATTATTGCGGCAGGTCATGTGGCAAGTGGTCGCCGGCAAAAAAGTAGCATTGCATTTGATATTCTGATCCCTAGATAATAAATAAATGCTGAACATGTTAATATATTCATATGCACTGAGATGCATAAAGTGTTTGGCTTTGAATATTAAACTAGTCGGCCTATATATTAACTATTGATCACCCTCACTATTATTTTTTTTAGCATTCCTATTTTATTTTTTTTTTATTACCGTAATGCTCTCTCCCTCTCAGCATTGCTTCCTTCTACTTCTAGAATGCATTATTGCTTAACCCCCACTTTTTTTTTGGTAATATACCCAAGTATTTTTTCTAATATTTGTTTGCAAGATACTCAGTACATTACTTGGTAGAGAAATAGATATTAAAATTAACAATAGTTTTGAATCATTCGCGGTCACGTGACAAGGCTGACGGACAAATATATAGCGCCGCTTTGTTACGGAGGTCATATGACTTGGTCACCGGACGAATATCTCTATCAAATATTCTTCCGGCGGTCATGTGACTTGGTCGCCGGACAAATAGTGTAGACACTGCCTTTAATTTACCATTAAACAAGTTAGTTAATATATTATAACAAGGTGGTCTATTTGTATAACTTTTAAACTAATTAATTAACTTATTAAGAGGATTATTTTGAAATACACTATACCTAATTGACTTACCTTAAGATTTTCCCCATCTACATCAAGTTGCTTTTCTCGAAAATCAACACCAATTGTTGCTTCAGTTTTATCTGGAAACCTACCACTACAGAATCTATATGTTAGGCATGTTTTCCCTACATTTGAATCTCCAATAACTATGATTTTAAAAATCCTCTTCTGAACCTGCTTTTCTAAGACTTTTGTAGTCTCTGCTTCAAGGCTAGAGGGATCTGTACTTCCATCAGAAGAAGATACTGATTTATTTAGTGACATTTGTTGACGATTCTGGCCTCTAGCATCCGTCATTAAATTTGTATTTTTCTGCCCTGCACTGCCTGATGCCATAACTAACAGTAATAAATGTTAAACTAAACACTACTTCTTGAATATTATTACCTCTGACAAGTAAATGCAAATTCTTAGCTAAGTTTACAACGCAATAAGCAACAACAAAAAAAGTGTTATTGCAACCAATAACAAGTGTAAGTCGCCATTTTTGTTGTGAAAATGACGTCACTAAAAAAGTAGAAAATATAAATATATCTTTAAAATAATTTTAATTCAACTTAAGAGTCATTAATTTTACCTTAAAAATAAATAAATTTATTTATAATTAAAAACAGAAAATAATTATCAACTTAATACACATGGAAACAAGGTCTCGGGACATTCGAGACCAGAAACTTGCTGTTCCGCCATATATCGGAATCTGCACCTCGTGGGTTCATGGAAGTTATCCTGTTATTTTAGCTTCTTATTTATTGAAATTTTATAGAAATAGGTCTGCAAGATGCCATCAAAGAATCCATTACCCCCTAAAGAAAATGCGTTCTTTAAACGAATTCTGGTAAGCGCATAGCCGTGAACATTACCTTCACCCCCCACCCAGCCTCAGTTTACTACGACTACCTACCACTACCACTGACTACATTTATCAATAATTATATTGCACGACGAGGGATATAACTACAACTACCGCCCTAGGCCATACAAATACAAAATTATGAATTAAGTTGAATAACTGAAATGTTAAAATTTGATGTCAGTTATTACATCACCAACATTTTTGTATGAAATTCTATTAATTTTGCACCATTATTCTTCTGAGCCAAAAGTTAACATTCACAGAAAACTACGAGGACTTGACTTAGTGAACTTAGTTCTTACTAAGAAGTGTTGGTTTATACTCCAAAGTCATTCACACTTAATGTTTGAACTGCGGTGGGGGTGGCATATATGGGGGTAATTGTTTGATCAGAATTGAAGAAGATACTAGATAGATAGTGTCAATTAAAATAGGTAAAAAGTAAAATTTATTTGCCATCTCAGTCAGTGGTGAATGTCTGTAACCTTAGTAACTGTAGCCCAAATTTCACTGTGCCTTACAAAACAAATAATTTAGGCATAATAATAATTTATAATTATATAAAATGGAAAACATTTCAATAATCATCTTTTCCAGTAGACTAAAACATGAATAGATATAACCTCACACACATAGTCGAATCCAAATTAAGAGTCAAAGTTGTTCTAGGTCTATGAGTAGTAATAATTTATTAAATTTGAAAGACTACTTTATTAAATTCTAGGCACTTTGATACATAAAGTGCACCTGTTGATAGTGTCAGTTGTGAGTGTGAGTTAATTTTAACAGCTTATGACGTTATGATGGTCCCCTAAAGTTAAAGCACTAGTAGGCTAGGCTGCTTAATACATTATTTATCATGAACATACAATGAAAATAATGCAGATGCAGTGTAATTTATTATTGAAAATAACACACAAAGGTATTTTAAGGTGGCAACCATGATAATATAAGTATTATAAGTTGTATGTCCCAAAGTTAGGTCACAGGTTTTGGCATCTTTGCTTGACCATCCCTAGCAAGCTTGAATCAGTATGTATCAGTGCCTACCCTCTTAGTCTTAGTGCTGCATATTTTCATGAAAAATCAACATATTTTAAAACAAACTTGAATTGCTTATTTTTTATATTAACAAAAGCCTAATATAAACCTAATATAAACACGTTCCATAGAAAAATCGAATGCCTAGAAAAATTTCCTGTTTCTTTTTCTACTTGATGGCAGCATACTGACAAATTATGATTATGACTGAACAATTGAAGCAATGAACATCCTATTCACAGAGCTGTGCGGATAACGCTCGCCGTTATTCACAGATTTCGGTCTGCCGATAACGCTAAACGTTATTCACAGAATGTGATAAATTAATTAATGAATATAAAGTACAAAGTTCGTTTATACACATCTCCTCGGTAGAGTAGTGGTCAGTATCTCCGACCGTCACCCAGCAGACAAAGGTTCGATTCCCCGTCGGGGAAGCCTCATTTTTATAAATAAAATTTAAAAACAAAATATTTAATGGTTATTTCGTAGTGTTATATTATAATAATATTCTTCCTATAGCTTTCTTTTTCTGTTCACATAGTTTTATTGTTATTTTCATATAGTTTTGTTACTTATGTTACAAGTTTCAATCTATTTTGTTAGAATGTTCATTCAAGTTTCGTTAAAAAAATGTAAACAACATGGACATGCAATATGCAGATCAGCCGCATAAACCATGTTTAAGTCAGATACAGCTGTTCTAACTGTACATTGTGATATACTTTTAGCTCTTTTGACTGTTTAATTTTCTTTGTATAATTCCACTCATAGACTTTAACATCCATTTGTTTTTTCTCTAATAAACAAATACTTATTAATAACTTACTTATTCAAATATTTTAGATCTCAGAGTTGTGTATTAATGTTTAGCTGAAAAAATATGTCACGTTTTATTTGTTTCATTTTATTTTCTAATAAGTATCATAATAAGTAGGGACACAATATGCCGCTCCAGAAATAGTTGAAATAACACTTAGTGATGACAATGAAATGAAGATACCGGTACCGTACTTAAAACATATCAATATCATTGACATCAACAATTTTAGCTCTTGTCAAAAAAATGTTGATAATTGAAACAAAAAGCCATACTGCCACTGTTGTAACTATGGGTCTAAATACAAAAAGCCATACTGCCACTGTTGTAACTATGGGTCTAAAAACAAAAAGCCATACTGTCACTGTTGTAACTATGGGTCCAAAAACAAAAAGCCATACTGTCACTGTTGTCACTATGGGTCTAAATACAAAAAAAGCATTAAAAAATTTGTTGGAAACTTGCTGGTCGTAGGATGCATTGCGAGTCTTGGGGAAGTAAAGTTCCCCTTCAGATCATATTGGTCTACCCATGGGGAAATTGAAGCTGCGTTTACAAGTCTAAGTTTGAGTGTATGGCCAGCGCAATAACCAGCCACCTTTACTTTTGACCAGCTAATGCCAGAGCTGGGTAGACTTAGGGACACGCTCAAGTATGAGGAAAAAATACTAGCCTTAAACTTTAACAGGATTACATTCTGTTATAATCAATGCAGGGCCAATATGCCCCTCCCCATCTCTCACATGGCCGCCTGATGCAGCCACCTCTCTGCATGGGCTATTCCTGACAGAACAATTCTAGACTAGGTGATATATCATAGGGCTTTTAAAACACTAAACGATACCCTATCAAGCTTTGACATCATTTTAAGACCTCTCTACAATGGGTGAAAGTGAGTCTACACGAAGAATACCGGTACGGGTACAATTTTTATTACTGGTATAATATTTAATATGAAATACCAGAAAATTAGTTATGTCTAGGAGTAGGAGGTTTGACTGGATCTATTAGTAACACTCTATAGGTCGAATAGACCCTATGTTGGCCCCTAACAGAGCAGATGTAGGCACAA